GGGGGGGGGGGGTGTTGTACCAGTTGGTTTGTCAGTTCGTGGAGTGAAAAGAGGGAAAAAACCTTGCTGCCATATTTACTTAAAATCATTAAAAATTAATGTGAAATTGTTTATAAACAAAGAGGCTCCAAACTTAACATTAAAGCAACAGTAAGAGAATTGCAGTGTAGGTTTTGTTATGATCGGAGAGCTGCATATGTATGCGATGCAATCATCCTCTCTATACACTTACAGTAAGCATGTATGAGCTTGTTAGCAACTGTTTGTGGTGCTGCTGCAGTGCACACACACGATCTGGATGTGCTTCACATCATTGTGAGGTTGTGCCGCAGTTTTCATGCCTGATGGCATTACAGTTTTGTCTGAGTAGACCCACTCCTGGTATACACCAGCATATGTGAAGTCAGTCCTCTGTCCTCAGGAGGTATAAGCAGATAACTAGAGTGATAGATAATCACTTTAAAAGGCCAAAAATAAACTTGTTTAAGATTATGGTACATTCTCCACATGCAAGCATATGCAAGAATGTCAAATAAAAATAATTGCCCTGTTGTGCTTTTTCAACTAATTAGCATGGATAATACTCATCTACTTCACAGGGATGCCAGGAGGATGTTTATGAATGCTTTGAAGATGAAATTTTTCAAGTGTATCTCTAAATATTGGCTCTTCTAATGAAAACTCCTGTAGTATAAATTCAGATCATTTGTTAAGTTGATTAATTCCTAATTATTTAATTATACATATATTTATACATGTATTTTTATATTTATGTTTTTATACATAGGTCCCATCAAAGCTTGTCCATTGACACTGACTTTTATTTCATATAGAACTAATATTTTGGTTTAGAATGTTTTCAGGGACAGCTCTTCAGTCAGTAGTGCTCTGTTGAGTTCATGGGAGCTTTGCTGTTGTTTAGCTAATGAAGATCTGTCTTTGAAAGTCTCCTTAGTGAGAGGCAGCTGTCCTGATCTCATTTTGAGAACGTTTATTAACCAGAGCCAGGAGCGAATGATAACCAGTGCAGCCATATTTAAAATAATACAAACACTACTCACAGTTACCTATCATTTCTCTCCAGTGTGCCAGAACTTTTTGGAGTGCAGTGAAGCCATACTATATTGTCAGTCATAAGACTGGTCCCATTTGGAATAACGTGAAAACAGAGTATTCATCACTGTAAGGCAGGGGCTCTGAAACTCAACGCCACAGACTCTTTGATTGCTTAAAGCCGACCTTTATTTCAAGCTGATTTCTCTGGCTTTGCTGACAGACACTTGGAAGTAGGAGGACAGCATTGATACTGCCACTTCCACAGTTCACACCGACACTGACAACAAAGTACAGTGCTGCCCAGAGCAGATTGCTGCTTTGGAGTCAGTGTCCTTGGGCACTGGTGTTGAGGGTCACTTTTATTTTGTTTAGCTCCAGTGACTCTGGGGGCAACCCAGCTAGTGTCATTCTTCCCTGTGACAAGGATGGTGTGAAGTGACTCCACTTCAACCTCCACCTTGTTTCTTCTGGGCACACAAGCACCAAACACTTAAATTCCCCAACGTGCCAACTTTAGTGCTGTAGCTTTTGCTAAAGGGGTCTTGCATCAGGATTTTCCTTATGCATAATTTCTGTGCTTTACCTTTTGACTCAAACCTTTCCTACCAGGAGGTCCAATTTTTTAAAGTATGTAATGGAGCTGACCCAAATTTTAATTCAAGAAAACCTTTAGCTTCCTATGAAATAAATAAAAGAGTGTAAGTAAGTATTTTACCATTTTTCTGGTCAGCCTTAGTAATATTCAAGGCAAGTTGTTGGGGTTACAAAGCCATCTTCTTTCCCATCAACCCCACTACTTTCCATATTATGCAAATGTAGACATTATTGACTATAAAATACCAATGCCCTTAGTGACTAACTGGAAACCGTCTTTTCTCCCATTAGAACCTTTGCAGTCTTTTCACTTTGGCCACCTGCGATGGTTAATATTTGCAGATGTTGCATAATATGACCTCATAAATCTGAGCCTCTGCAGTTCCTCACTTCAGCAGCGTCAGCAGCCTTGTAACAGATGGTCTCCCTAATCAGATAAAGAGAGGTATCTACTATGAGAGGACTGTCAGACCTCAAGGCACAAAACATCCCCCAACAGCTTGAAAGAAATATAAGGTCTCCAGTTAAAAAGATTCAAGAGTCATAAAAATTACAATGTACTGCAGGAAGAGAGACGGTCCATCACCAGAAGTTACGGAGAAGCAAGAACTGAAAGGAGACTGATACTTGCAAAGAGAAAGCATATCCAGACTCCAGAGGGGCAACAAACTCTGAATTGCTGGAGTTTAGGTACCTAAAATGCCTTTGAGACTCGTGAGTCACCATTCTGCAAGATGTAGGAAAAGTATCTTTGACCCAAAGACCTAATACTCTAAATGCAGATAAAAGGACATAAGCAGAGTGGAACACATGATAAATCCTAAGGAGGATGGAAATGGAATTGACTTGATAGCATTCTTCAAGTCATTTTAATTTTTCTCTGCATTTCCCTCTGTACTTTTTAGTTACAGGGCTTCATCCTCCATTGCCCAGAAAAGCTGCGGGATCATTTTCACTGCTGCAAAGAGGGTGTGAAATGCCAGACCAGAACAGCACTTTGTGACAATGTTAAGAATCTGTATTGAGGCACCATTAACTTTAACTCTTGTTAAAATCAGCAGGGTTTGGGGTGTGGGACTGTGGGCCATAGTGTACAAGTAACCTGTCTTAAGCTTTGGATGGGATCTGCTTGGGGAAGAAGTTGGGGAGGAGGGGTGACAAATGGGGGCCAGGAACAGCCTCTGCTGCAGTTTCCATATGTTCATGTTGTATAGGGGAAGGAGATGCTGGTCAGCTCAGTGGTACTGAGACATGATTGTTCCAAGAACGCGTTCAGCGTATGGTTGTTGCACACATGCTTGGCCTTAAATTCGTCACAGGGTCAATGTAATAGGAAATTTAACTTTGGGACTGATCACACAGGTTTTTTTCTGGTCTCTGTTTATAAAGGCTTTGATCCTACAACCATTTGGATATTTTTGACACAGAAATTCTCTGCTGTTGCAGGGTCTTATGACAAAGCTATGTCCTTGATCTTTCCTGCTGTCTTCTTATGGTACATTGCACTTTTTGTGGAACATCTTCCCATTTGCCCTGAGCCTGGGGTGATAAGATGTCTTTACAGAAGCTTGTAAAATGGATATCGTAGGGCTCTCTTAGGACTGTACATTTACTATGTGGCTGCCTGCAATTGCAGTCCCAGTAACTGAAATGATCTTTTGCAGTCCTGCTTGCCGCTGGGCTCCGGAGTGATTGCTGTAGTGCAAATAGCTCATTTAAATCACAGGTCCTACTGCATCACCCACTTGTGCTTGTTCATCTCTGCAATTAACCAGTCTCCAATTTTAAGCTGTCTTTGCCTGATGAAAGACTTTTATTATGTTTGCAGTTCTTCAAGGGGGATAAATTTTTTATACCTATCTAGCAAAGAGTTTGTCATTTGAGAAATGACACTGTTGAGAAATGACACATTGTTGAGTTTTGAATTTGAGTGTCACTCAACATCACTGTTGAGTGATCCAAAAATTCTTCCTTAAATCCTTTCTTGTGATAAAAAGAGACATTTAAACTTTGCCTTCTGTAATGCAAGGTCATGACCTAGATCTCAGCAAAGCTGCTAAAATCATTGCTGAAAACTGCTCAGTATGAATAAAGTTTATGAGAAGAGCTTTTCAAACAAAGGGGCCGATTTTTGGTTTCGATTCAAATGTGTGTTTCTGCATTCAGTATTTGTGTATTTGCTTTCTTCTGCCAGGCCTGAATTTACTGCTTTCCTTTTAAGCCTACCATGAAAAGAAACAGCTAACACCGTAATATGCAGCGCAAAAGAATACGACGTGTTTCTTGCTCAACTGAAAGACACTCAGTCAGTGGCAATTGCTTCAGGCCCAAAGGGCAGAGTTTATCTGTGAATAGTCAAAGAGTGAGAAAGCTTGTCAGTGTCAAAATTATTTGCTTAAGGAATTAAAAATGGCTGCTTTTTTTTTAATTTCTTTACCAAGGGAGGTGCAAGTTGGTAGTCAGGACAATGCCAGATTCCCCTGGCAGCAGAAAACACAACCTGTGCCAAGTATGGCCTGAATTTCTGGATATGTGTCAAATGGCACCATTTCTGTGAAAGCTGAGGTTAAATCACAGCAGAATCTAAAACATGAATTACAATTTCAGCTCCTGAGCTCTCCCTGATCTCCTCTTCTGTAGGTTGGCACAGCAAGGTACATGGCCCCTGAGGTTCTGGAGTCTAGGATGAACCTGGAGAATGTGGAGTCCTTCAAACAAACAGATGTGTACTCCATGGCTTTGGTCCTCTGGGAAATGACATCTCGCTGTAATGGTGTCGGAGGTAAGTGCTGTCAATGTTCTTCTCTCTAAAAGTATGTTTAGACAGATGTGCTTTTGTGGTTGTCTGGTTTTTAACTCTCACCAGTGTTTCTAGTGTATCTGGATGCTGTAAATTAACAGGCCTTTGGTAGTATGAGATGCACACGTGCATGAGCAGGCTTGAAGGGCAAGCACCTGAGAGCACAAGAAAATAGGTCCTCAACTGGTGTAAGGATAAATCTGCTGTTAGGTAGACGACTTCTAAAGATTATTAATGTCTGTTTTTTCCCATAGCATCTTGAGTAGCCATGGATTGACTCAGTCTGGTTGACCTCACCCAAAATGACTGGAAACATAAGACATTTTGAAATATTAAGACCAAGAAGTGATAACTGTCTCCTCACGGAATGTTAATTCTGAAACCTAATGAGGGCCAGTTAAGTGTCACAGTTGCTTATTGATCATTTCACTAAGAGGCATCATAGTGATACAAAAACCTTCCTGCTTTCCTAAAATCCCCAGCTGCTGCTCGTCATGTTTTGTGATGTTGCAAGAGATCACCCATATGAGAAATTAAGGGATGTTTGTTGTATAAAGTGCAGTAACAAAATGAAAATGATTGGAATTGACTATCAGGACAGCTCCAGGAAGAGCTGCTATGTTTGTTCATATTCAGAGTTTGTTCACTGAAACAAAATTTCCATTTCTGCTTTGCCTAAAGCTGCCCCAGAATTCCCAGTGTGCAGCACTGGTATGTGCTAGAAATCAGAAAAGTTGCTGTTGAGATATCTGCATTACATATTGCCATGTTTGAAGATTTTCATCTTACTTGAGGGACTAAAATGAGACTAAGTTACATATAAAATTCTTCAGTCTGCTGGAATTGTCTAACATTCATTCTAACAAAAACTGCTGCACAGTCCAGGGCTCTCACAGGCAGCCTAAGGAGTGGGGCTGTAAAAGGTAACGCTAATGTGGATATTGCAGCAGATATGCAACTACGATTTGATTTGTTACCCTTCTTCCAAAACCACAGAGGCTCCCTTTTCATCGGACTTGGCACAGTTCCATCTTGAAGGGCTGCCACAGGACAGGGCAATCTTGCAGGCTAGAGCACTATAGCATGAGGAACGTAGTGTACGGGAGGAAAACCAGTGTCTCATGGGACGATTTGCATAACTGCTCCTTGTTTCTCTACCAACATCCGTGGGATACCACAAGGGTGTCCGTGGAGGCCTCTGAAGCCACTCTGCACAGTGGCTGTGTGGCTGCATCACGGTGTCTGTGTGCAGGAGGGAGGACTGCCTCCACCTCAGCCTCCTCCTATGTCTGACCAACATTTGGTCTTGCTGGGTGGGCTAGATTGTGGGCAACAGATTTGCCCCTGTTTGCACCCTGCCGGGAAAGCTACAAAGCGAGTAAGTGTGCAGAAAGCTAGTGCTAGCATAAAAGCATGAATAAAAATTCTTTTCTAGTCAAACATTTCAGGGAAAAAACATTTGGTGCTTCAGGAACTGAACCTCAGTCTGGCATATTCCAAGGCAAACCTATCCACATTTAACTGTTGTGGTCATGCCTGTTTCGAAGTGCACTGGCACAGCCTCAGCCTTTCATTAGCGCTTGGTAAATGTGGCTGAAGAGATTTAAAACCTGAGAAAAAGGATCTTTGCCCTGTCTCTTGAGCTCTCCCTGTTTCTTGCATTTAGGAGCTCACCTTATTAATATAAATATGAGCTGTTCACTGTGGAGTCTTGTGTCTTTGCTGATGCCTGAGTCCCTTCCTGTTCATATTTGCTGAGTGCAGCAAAATGGAGATTGTGGCAAAAGCAAACCTTATTGCTGCTGTTCTCAGAAGGCAACTGCCTAAAAGAGGATATAAAGGGAGTTTCATAAGGAAGGAGAATCACCAGCATGTTCAGCTAGAAGAGACTGACCCATTATAACCTTAAGAAGAAGGGCTGAAGTCATTTCAGGAAAAGGAAAGATTTCTCTGGCCCAACATCCCCTCTGCTTTCAAGGTGGAGCTTAACCCCCCACCCACATCGTGATTTTCCCTGTTCATTTCATCCTTCAGTCATCCTCATCTCACATTTCTTGAATTTCGCTTCTGTATTTCAGTCATCTTTCCAGGGGTGAAGTCCTCAGCAAAACCACAGGAGTACTTGGGCAGACCTGTAGGGGGGTGGAACTTGGGCTTAGTGTCCCCCATCCAGAGCAGTTAAATACAACTCCCGGGATGTAGCTCCCTTGTCACTGGTACTGAGCTGCAGCAGCATTGAACAGTTTCTCTCATTTCCTTCTTAGATTTTCCCCTGGTTCGTGCAGTCTGGCTATCTTTGCAACCAACTGGTGAAACACCCTTGCAGTGATTCATGACTGCAGCTCCCCCTCTGCTTTCTCTCTCCATCCGTCACTCGTGAGACTCCCTTCCCTCCTCGCAGCCTTCCCAAGGAGCTGCCTCCACTCACGCAATCCTCTTTTTTTCTTCCTAAACAGTTAGATAAATGACCTCGCGTATAAGCCGGAGTGGGCTGACCTGATTACAGCCAGTCTTTCCAAAGGAGCCTAAAAGATGTAGGCACCGTCTTCACGGGGCTGGCTTGACCGTGGTGTCAGCTCCCTGTGGCTAGAGAAAGCCCGTGGCAGTTTAGAGGGCAGGAGTGGCAGTCTAAGCCGAGGCAGTGACATTAGCAACCTTCGTTAGGGAGGGAAGCCTGTGGGGGGGCTAATTGCCATTCAGCCACGTAAAGGTACAGCGGCTTACTTCTTTTACAAAGGGAGCTCTCAGGACGCGTTTGTCAGCGTGCGGGTGTTCGGTGAGTGTGGGAGGTGATGGAGGCAGGTCCTTTCACTACAGCAGCTTTGTCAAACACAGTCTCCACGCTCTGCCAGGCCTTTTCAGTCAGCAGACGTTTAAACAAAAATACCCAGCAGCATAATCCATGCTGTGAAGCTGCCGTAGTAAATAAGCAGGTGGGGATCGGCTTTTGAGCAAGGCCATGCTGTTCACTGTTATTTTGTTGTGCTAAATACGGAGAAGCGTGCTAAATACGGACAATCAGTAATGGGGCACAAGGGAAAGGGAGACAGAGGCAAAGATCGAGTTTGACTGATTTTTCACTGGAGTATAATTTAAGAGGCATATTTAGAAACTCAGCAATACTACTTTGGGGAGAACATCAAGTGCTCCGCGCTGCTGTTAACTTGGTATTTCATTCAGCGCAACAGCTGTGCACCAGATGCTGCACGTTGCAAGAAATATAATTTTCATCTCAACCACTTGCTTTCAGAGCGGCACAGCTTTGGCAACTGAGGCAAGTGTAATTTCTCTGACAGCCTCCTAGAAAGAAAAGAAAACCATCTGTTTTGTATTGGAGCTGCTACGGGTGGAGGACTGTTGGGGGTGGCAGGGGAGAAGGAGAGGAAGGGGCACTTCTGAGTACATGGGGCTGGTGAAGAGGGAGAAGAAAACCCCCCTCGGAAAATGGCGACGTTACTCGTGCAGTATTTGTACTGCCTGGAGTGGTGGCTGGTTTTGGTATAGCAGCAGAGCTTTGTTTGAAATGGCAGCCTTGCTTTAGCAGAGGTTTGTTTAATGTGAATAAAATCATTAATTAAGCCTATTTGGGAAGAGTCATCCAAGGGCCACAGTTTGGTAGCTAAACACTTGTGCATCTTGTAGCTGGTGAAATGCTCGGCTTTCACCATATTGTCGTGGAGAGGTGGCAGTTTCGGGCGGCAGGGAGCTTTTTGATAGCCTGTACAGCAGGGCTATTGGGCCCTGAGGTGGCTGTAGCTGGGGCCTGATTTAAGCCTCTCCCTCTGTGGAGCGGAGCCCGGTTAGGGCATGTCTGCGCTGCATTGGCTTGCGGTGGCATATAATCCCAAGCTGGTACAAACACACGGTGCAGCATCACCCTGTGACAGTAACTCCTGTCCTCGAAATTCTCTGTGTCTCCACAGCACTACCTGTAAGGTAGCAAGTGCTTTCCTTCAACCAGCCCAGGTAGCAGTAGGTAAGATTGCTGCACTGCACTCCATGTTGGGTGCTGATGCGCTACTGATGTGCTCTGCGTTCCTTGCTTTGCCACCTCAGGACAGAGCACAGTGACTAAGCAGCCTGTAACCGTACACCGGTGGCAGAGCTTGTACACTCCCAGACCTCTGGAAGTGTGGCTGTGGCTTTGATCATCAAATGTGAAGTCACTTAAAACATGTCTGTGCAAGGGAAACTGCACAGTGAGTTCACCCATCCCAATACAACCTCACCCTTCCCAGCTAGCATCTGTATTCTGAAGGAGCAGAACGGGGAAACCTGGGGTAAATGTGAAGTAAGCATTTGGCAGCTCCGTAAACTTGGCTTTTGAGCCTCTGCATAACCCCTTTGTGCAATGGCTAAGTAGATCCACCACCCAAATTCCTGTAGCGTGAAGAAAGACACAATCTGCCCACACATGCAGGTGGGTGTGTGTACATGAGCTGTCACAGTAGCTCCACCATCGATTGATTTCTCCCTTCTGTGGCTCTCCCCTTGTAAACTCTACAGGGACAGGCATCTCAAAAGGACCTAAAAGTTCCCGAACACAAGCCCACTGCTACAGACCGTGCCCCACAGTTGATTTATGCTGTTCTGACCCAGAGGAAGAGAATCGCACTGCAAAGAGCTTAGAGTAGAAAAAGATCACATGAGCAACGCATATTTTTTAATGAGGAACCCACGGACAATTTTTCCAAAGCATTCATCAGGAACAACAAATAGATTTTCAGTAATGTCTCTGTTTGGGGCTAAAAAAAAAATCCAGTCCCAGCCTTTCTGAGAGTTATGGCCAGGCCAGTGTCAAAGGGAATCAGAGGCACAGGGATTATTAGTGCAAGGTAGCTCACAGCCATAAAGATTAAATGTTGGGGGTTAAAGTTGAAGGAACCCTGCCATTACTGAACGCTAAAGGTGCTGTAGTTTATGGTACCTGAAGTATTTATGGTACTTCAGCCAGTTGTCATTTTCAGTACCTGACTGGTCTAAAAACAGTCAAAAGAAACATATAAGGCATGAAAAATACAGTATCTGTATACAGCCGTGCACAAGCAGGTAGGCACAAACATCTTAACTGACCTCAAATTGACATCTGTTACATCTACTGTTAGCACGTCAACATGATCCATGAATAACCCCAGCTATTACTGCAAAATGTGCCTGACACCTGAGATTCCACAGCAAAAGGATAGTTTACTGCGAGAGGATTTGGTGGGCTTTTCTTTCTAAGGGAAAG